CTGTTCCACAGGTCTTCAACATGTCTTTTCTGTCCTCCATTTTCAATTTCACCAAATGAATTTACACTTCCATTGGCAACACCTTTTATCATAGCCCATGTGCCTCAAAAGTTGGAAGAGGAGGAAATATTTAATTTGAAAGTGCCCATCCTCCTAAGCACGTATTACCTGTACGCCCAGAGAAGCAAAGAGCACCCTCATCTCCTGCCCCTTTAAAAATGACAGGAATCACAAATCAAGCAGAGGTCATGCTAAATTTATATTACTGAAATATTCACCATACTAACCTCTGAGCAGGTCATCTCCTATCTATAATCAGAAACTTGATTGCAAACCCTAATCACAGCAATGATATAAAATTTAAACTGCAAGGCATCAAAGAAAGTCGTATTCCATTTTGGCATACTTACTTTCATTCAACAAGTAATTACTGAGTATTTACCATGTATCAAACACAGGTCTAGGTGCTGGAAATATAGCAATAAACTTGCTCCAAAAATATCTCATCAGGACTCTTAATGATCTACCTACCCCATCACCCACAATTTTCTGTAATATACTTTTTATACTGATTTAAAAGGATATTCTTTTGTAACACAGACAAACCAAAAACAGATGATTCAAAGTAATTATGTTTTATAAAGTCACTGCAAACACAGAACTACCAAACACTGAATCACTGTTCCCAGGGCTAGGTTCCTGTCAGCCTCTGGTCACAAGATTTTTATCAACCAATCAATACACGCCCTGGTTCTATGCGTTTTTCTGTTTAAAGACACAGCATTTACTATATATTTTTTGATTCATTAATACTGAACTCATAGCCAACCATATTATAATTAATGCCTGAATTAAGCTTATTTCAAACATGTATTTTTTTCCATAAGGCATATCGGAGCTTTCTTGCACTTAGGAACACTAGACAGCACTTTAGCAGTAAGTTTGGGAGCCACTTTAAGCAGCAAAATCACCAGAAAAAAAGCACTAAATAGATTGCAAAAAAGTAGTCTTCAGAAGCCAGAGAATCACCTTATTTAACCTCAACTGGGAACATACAGGTCAGGTGACCCAAAATTTTTGCCACTCTGTGTATACATATACATGTGTATACATACATACACTCTGAATAACTGCGACAACACCAAGATTATTGATTTGAGGGTTACAAATATATTTTAGCAAGCAGGTGAATTTACAAATGTGGAATCTGTGAATAATTAGAATCAATTATAATTCATGACAGGAATTTTCTCCTTAAAAGTATTCTAGCTATTACATTAATAAGATATGACAGATATTACCATTATGCAACACCTAATAAATTAATGGACTAGGCAAGGATCATCAATGATTGCTAACATTACAAAAAGAAAGACAATCTTGATTGTCCTGATGGAAGAAAAAAAATTGAAACTGAATCTAATCAAACCTCAACATCTCACTACCAATTTAGGGAAAAGCTAAGGGACAATGTTTTCACTCTTTAATTTCACATCAAGATACTCCATTTTTTAATCTGATATTTTCAAGGGCAGGGATCATATTCTATTCAACTGCCTCCCCAGTATCTATTATAATACATAGCAGTCAACATTGGTTAAAATCATCTTGAATAAATTAAGTGAATGAACAACCTCTCAGAAATTTAAGAACATTAATTTATATGGTCATCTCTTTTTCAAATAAAAGAGGAAAGAGAAAGGTATATACAGCCAATTTAAAGCTCTAAGAAATATAAGAATTGGAATAACACCCCAAAAATCAAAGGTCATTTATACTGTAATTTCAACTGTTAAAAAGAAAGCTATGCACCTGAAGAAAAAAAAAATCACTGAATAAAGGTCACAAAATGCATATTCTTTTTGTTAAACAGTAAGAGCCCCTAAACTCCACTTAGAGTCAATTTACTTTTAAGTAAGTTTAATAAGTTTACACAGAAATAAAATTAAAAGAGAAAAACTGAAGTGGCTAGTAAAAATATGACAGAGAACAAGGAAGACAACTTTATACTCATCAATAAATCTGTATATATCTCTGTATAACGGCACACTTTAGAGCTAATATTCAGAATGAGAGTCCTGAATTAGCAAGATTTGAATATGTTTAGAAAACACTGAGAAAACAGTACTACCTTGTAAAGTTAGTACAAAAAAAAAACCTAAAATAAGAATATATAGTGGTATAGAGTATGCTTCAAACTTCTAATTTATCTAATTAGTCACTCCCTATAATGCCAGATAAATGAGAAAGTGCACTCAGAAAAGTCAGTGGCTGTAACACACATGGTTCTCATAACAAAGTTATTGTTATTCTTTCTTCTTAACTACAATGCTAATTTTCCAATTTATAAAAATATATAACTACAAATAACAGCCTAGTGTAGGCAAAGATCACAAATTTAAAAGGTTCGTTCAAGAGTATTGATGTTGGGATATTTTAATTATGAAGATAATATTGTTGAGTCTCATCATGGAACAGACTTTGTAGTAAAACTGATTGTAAATTATAAATAACCAAGTTAACAACTACAAAATTCTAAACTGAAACATGTGACAGGTAAAAGAAATAAGCTGTTAAGTACAACTGCTTCTCCAGAGATACAATTTCCTTCTACCCAGCCAGATGAAGAGAATCCTTCCCCAAATTAAGTGTGATAGCCTGAAGACAGAGACAGAGAATTGATCCAAAGGTACCTTAAACCCCAGTATAAGCAACAGGGTTGAGAGCCTAGTTTTTCTTACAGAGTTTTTCTTACAGGATTACATTACTTGAGCACGAAAAAATAGTTCCACAGCACAGTGAAGGCTGCCTTCAATGAAAAATGAGGCTCCTCTGAATCGCCATCTATAAATGGCAGATCTACAGCAATAAAAATATATTTGGAATTGTGTTATTGTCATGATAGTGCTGGTATGCAATCAAACTAACAAACCAAAGTAATTCAATATAGCCAATTTAAATTTTAGGAACTGCTTATTACTGGAACTCTTCTATATCATAGTGCGAATGAAAATGGTCCAGTCACTTTGGAAAACAGTTTGGCAGTTTCCTATAAAGTTAAACATACACTTGCCATATAACCCAACAATCCTAATTTTAAAAGCTACCCCAAGAGAAATGAAAACTTATGTTCACACACACCCAAAAAATACCGGCACACAAATATTTGACAGTTTATTCATAATCGCCAAAAACCAGAAACAAGTACTTCAACTGGTGAATGGACAAATATGCTATATACTGGAATATTGCTCAGCAGTTAAAAGAAACTACTGATACACGCTACTGCAAGATGGATGGATCTCAAATGCATTCTGCAAAGTGAAAGACGCCAGGTTTCAAAGGCTATATAAGACATGATTTAATTTATATGATATTCTGGAAAAGGCAAATCACAGAAAGAGAAAAAACATCAGTGGCTTCTAGGAACTGGGAGTGGGAGGAGGAGCTGACTACAAAGGGGCAGTATAAAGGAATTTGGGGGGAGGGTGATGGAACCATTTTGTATTTTGATTATTAAGAGAATGAATTTTAGACAGAAAAACTGTTTTTATCCAATATAAAAAAAATCTTAACATAATAATTAACTGAAATGCTCAAAAAAGGGAATATTTCCTTTAATAACTAAATTTTCTGGATACCTATAATTACATTTAATTTCAACTTCTGCTATTTAAGAAAATTTTTCTATTTTTATGCCTAAGTCAGCTGTTTATCATTTTCTTTAAATTGGAGCCAATTTATTTGTTTGACATTTGTCTCATACAACTGTATAATGCAAACTAAATTGATTTAGGATGAGCTTGGTGCCTCAGGAGGCATTTAATCAAGGTTCTTCCATGATAAAATTTTATCCCACAAAAAAGATGAAACAATTAATCCATTAATTAGAAAAGTAAGTGGTCATTAGAGACGTATTATGTGCAAACACAGGAACTACAAATGGCAAACAAGACAACCACAGTCCCTAACATCAGAGAGTTTGAGCAAGCAATAATAGAAAGTATGAAAAAAAAGAAAGTATGATATATGTGCTACAATGGAATTACTGTGCATTCAGAGCACATAACAAATGCAATAACCTAACCATGTAAGCTCTAAGTCTTATTTTTAAGGTGGAGAAGAACGGTTATACACAAGGTTCACGTGCTCCCATTAGGATCTATAGAATACCTGGTATCTTGGTGAACTTGAAAACAAAGCTAAAAAAGCATGCAACAGTAGTGCTTGCCATTCCATTACTCTTCGGTGTTTAAAAATGGAAAGAAAACAAAGAGACCACATACGCACAACACTACCCCTGCACAAGCTGTACAATAATCACTCTCCTACAGCAAAGTCTTCTTTAAGGAAGTACAATATTAGAATATGCAGATTTATTTCTGTCACCTTTCCAGCAAGCAGTAAATATTTCTGTTACAGAATACCATAATTATAAGTTTTTCTTTTTGAGGAATATTATTTTAAAGAAGGGGGGGAGGAAGAGAGCAAAGAGACAAACCAAAGATTATGGGAATAAGAACTGGAAGTAAAAAAATAAGCAAAAGTAGGTATAAAGATTTTTGCAATGAAGTCTTAAAAACAAATTAAGGAAGTTTAAGGAAACTAGAACAGAGGCATTACAACCACACCCTTGCTTCTTTCTATTATTAAAAAAGGAAGCCAAGATAAGTAAAAAGAGGGCTGCCTACAGGTGCTTTGTCATGAAGTTATCATGTACAAAGGTAAAATTATGTAAACACAAGGACTAAAAAGAGTGTTAGATGAATACTCAGCTATGCCAAAGTTACCTGAAACATTTTCCATCTCAAGCATCCTAATTATACAATGCATCTGGGACTACAGGGGACCCACAGGACCAGGGTTAATAACTTAGTGTCAAAAACCAGAAAAGCTTTCAACAACTCTAAAAGAAACTAACACTAATTAAAATAAAATGCCTCTTGGTAGGTTATGTATTTACAAGTAAAAAAAGCAAAAGAAATTTACTAGCATCTTACTGAAACTCCATCTCAGAGAAGTAAGACAGTAAGTAGTTTCTATTAAGCGGTAGATGCAAATTAATGCAGGTCCACAGTTCATTTTTTAAAGTTCTTGCAGTCAAACATGTCTTGGAGTTCAGAATGTCTGGGGATTTTTGATGGGTGACAGTGTATACACCACATAACTTGCAACACTCCTGAGAAGCCTGGATGGCACAGAGAAGTCTGGGGCAGCACGCTGTAATCAAACATTTGCTACAGTACTTCTGCAGTAAAACCTATCAATACATGAAATAAAGACAATAGTTCAGAACAGATTTTGTGAAAAAATCAATTTATGCCAAACATACAAGAAACGTTTTGGTTTTCAGAGAATTTTGGATGTTAGAACTGTTGATAAGAAATTGTAGTCCCACAGAACAGTAACCATAATCCCTTTTCATGAGCTGAATGTTATTGTGGTATTTTGGTAAACACAGAATAATTCTAAAAGTGTCCCATTGGTTCACACATAACATGTCCTCTAAACCCTATCCAGTGTTAAATTTCTCTATCATGGATTCTCTTATCAGGGCAGTTTTCAGAAATCTAACCTTTGCAATTTATAGAACTGCCAAATCCAATTTTGCCACCATGTAAAAAAATGTTCATTGAGTTGAATTGAACATATTTAACTCATCCTAAAATGGCTTGCTCTCATTTTTTCACAGGAAAAATGCTGTAACTGTTAACGGTGTTCCAGACTCAGAAAGAAACATCAAATGAGTAACAAAAAGGACCCAATTTGTCATAAATATAAAGATACAATAACCTTATAAAACCCTATTACCATAGTGCATTTATGTGTAGACATTTACTGGCTCTATACAATATAGACAAGATACTATAAACTAAATACACTATAACTAAAGTAAAATATTTCCACTGAGGGGAAAACCAGAGACAATTCCTTGTCAACAATGGTATATAAGAGAGTAAAGTAGAAGTGGTTATACTAGGTAACCATTAAGGCCCCTTCTATCCTGATGTTCCATGAGGAAAAATACAACTAGCTCAATGATACTTTAAATATGATAAATATAACCAAAAATGAACAACTTTTCATTGGCAACACTTCTTGCCTTCTTATAATATATACTAAGTTTGAAGATATCACTTAGGTCTCCTAAGATTTCCAGGAGCATCTGAATTGATGGCTTAATTTATTCTTGACAAATTTCCTTTTAACAAACTTTCCAAGCTTTAGGAATCCTCTAACTTTGGTACTATACTTATCAAAAATCGTTAATGAGCAATGAATATAGTGGCCTCACTAAAGATAGTAAGTATAATCAACCCTCCATGTCTGTGACTTCCACACCCATGGATTCAACCAACCATGGATCAAAAATATTTGGGGGAGGGGGAGAAGCATCTGTACTGAACATGTACAGGTGCTTCTTTTTTCTTGTCACTATTCCCTAAACAATACAGCATAACAACTCCTTACATAGCACTTATTGTATTATAAGGTATTATAAGTGATCTAGAAATGATCTAAAGTATATGGAAGTAGTATGGGAAAGTATATGGGAAGACGTGCATAGATTAAATGCAAATAATATGCCATTTTATATCAGGGACTTCAATATCTGTGGATTTTTGGTATCCACAAGGAGTCCTGGAACCAGTACTGAGTAATAACTGTATGACACTCTGAAAAAAAGTCACTGATACTCTTACTAATATTTTCTATGCATTTCTTCAGTCATCCTCACACTTCCACCCCTAATTTAAAAGAAACAGGTTAAAATAAAAGGATGTCTTTTTTTTAAAAAAAAGAGCTAAAAGATATGTATAAAGGGAAGGAGAAATCAATCCTGCAGCACACTGGAGTAGCCTGTAGAAATCATAAAATATATCAATGTCCTATCCTTATCACTAGATTCAAATATAAATTAGCATGGGTAAAATGAGAACATCTTTTTTTTTTTTAAGCTCCAAAAACACGTTAATGTGAAGTTGGGCTGAAAACCACTGGTATAAGCTGCTTCCTCCACAAACTTCTCTGTTCTATTAGTAAGTGTTAGCACTCCCAATCCTATAGCAAGGACTGCAAGGGCTCTCTTTAAAATTGTCCACTTTTCTTCTCTCATTGACTCTGTTACAGAAAAAAAATTACTAATTTTCAACTGGAAGTTCTTAAGTGCATTATTTACTATAGTAAAATTCATTTTAGCTTATTTGATATTCTCATTCCCAAATGCTCAGGATTTAATTTTCAGTCCTCAAAAAACAACCTTCATTAATAGGGTATTAAGATAAATTGCAAAGCATACAATAATAAACAAACATACAATACACATTCCAGTTATTTTCAATAATCAAAACATACTCAAAAGAATGACTTGTAAAACCTAATTACATTTTGATACTTTATTAACTACAAACATCTGCAGAATAGAATCTCAATTATACAAAGATATATTAGCCATAATATACCCTGATATTTAAATGACAGAAAAAGAACTCAGTAAGTGCCATTTTTTAATGAAAACTGGTATCATAAGATTCCATATCTTTAAGATTTACATTTTTGGGTGAGGGGAGTCATATTATCAGATTCCCTAAAATAAATGTAGAGAATAAAATAATATTTTGTAAAAAATTCATCTACAAATAACAGCTTTTTAAAATGTTGCCTACTACTGATACCTACTAGTTTCAACTTCAAAACAATACAAGGCTATTTTTGTACCCCAAATTAAGATTTTATTGAAAAAGTATTGTAGCCATATATTTGCACACCTTAAGACTAGCGGAATACCATGAATTTTATCTCTTCTCTCCCTATTACATTACCTAATATATTTGCCCACCACTTGAAAGTATTCACTGTAGAACATAACATATAAGTATTTCACAGAAATAGAAAAAAAAACATGACACAGTCTGGGTGTAAGGGGAAAAAAAATATTTTCACTTCCCTTTTTACTAAAGGAAATTCTGAATATAATTTTAACACCAATATACCATATTCTAATACACTGCCTAGTATACTACCTGAAGTCACAAACAAATTTAAAAAATAGATAACACAATAACTTAAAAATATTCAGAAGTCCACTACCTTTATAAAGTATACTTGTACCAATTTCAACTTAAAGCTTTACAATAATTTTTAATAAATACATTTTAAAATAAAGAAAATTGCAAAGCATCAATGCAATCAAGGCACACTTTATTCAAGGTAATATACAGTGAAAGCAAAGTATATGTTAAAATTTAATTCGGTGAAAAACACCAAGATTCTATTTTCTTTCCTCAAAAAAAATTACTATTTTTTCTGATGGTAGATATAATGCATAGTCGTAGCTGAAAATCCAAATATAGAGAAATATAAAGTACAAAAAGAAAAATAATCCTAAATCTCACCATTTATAAATAACTATCATTAACATACTCTTCCAAAAGATGGATGGATTTATTCTGTATATTTATAACCACTCATACATGTATTTGTGTATCTATGTATAAGCACATATATATTCCTTTCCTTTATATATACTGAAAGTAAAGAAACGTTTAAGATAATTTGCTTGAAAATAAAAATGATAAGATGCTCCAAACACTCATTCTGCTTTTCCATTTTCATTTAAGCAGGCCAGGTTGGGATTATTGTGTGTATGTACGTATGTCTCTGTGTGTATGTTTCTGCCTGGTGTTGTTATTGTTATTGACTGCTTAAGGTCAGATGAAAAAAACTGCTTGTTTTACTTTAAAAAAAAAAGAAAGAAAAAAAACAAAACAGAACAAAAAATGCATGTGGCTAAATGTTTTTCCAAGGCCTGAGAACACAGATATCTATACTAAAAGTGACTGGCACACTGATTTACAGTAGTAGCCTATGGTCCTGAGAAAAACTGCAAAGTAGACAAGATTATTTTTATGGCCTCCCACTTCTTGGTCAGAAAGAGCACACTACACTAGTAATTAGGACATGAAAGTTCTACTGATCATGTGCATGACTTAAGCATTTCACTCAACCTGCCTATGATTCATTTCAATTCTAAAATCCTATAAATTCACCCTGTCTCCCCATTCCCCCACCATCTTCTTTGCTGCTTTCAAAATAAGTAAAAATCATCTCCTCCTCCTATTTCACTGGGATTCCATCATTCAAAATAAACCTTTCTTCTGACCAACAAAGTCCATTTCTTTAATGCACTTATTCACCCCTAGATGGGAAAAACAAAGTAATCTGATGAGATGAAAGATGTGGGCAATATCTTAGTGAAGAGGAAGGGCAGCAACTCAAAAAAAAAAAAAATTAAGTAAGTTTATAGGAACAAAATTTTAATTTAAAATTAAAATAGCTTTATGAGCTCCACAGGAAAAAAATTATAATCTTTCAACTTAGATCACCTATTTTATTGACTCAAAATTAGTAAAGTTAAAAAGAAAGCAGTGTTTTTAGCTCCTAATATGAAGATCTGAGCATATTTAAGAAAGCAGTGTTTTTAGCTCCTAATATGAAGATCTGAGCATATTTAAGATAGCAACATGGAAGCAGCTTTCTAGTATTTCGTCCATTACATTTGTGCAACACTTTAAAGTTCAGCATGCATTCATATGCATTATTTATTTTCATTCTCAAAACAAGTACATATAGTGGTCACTATTGATTATCTCTCTAACATCCATTTCCCCCATATTCTCCCTTCCCACAATTTTTAAAATAATATCCTCCCTCTACCCATGTAACTCTGTAAAATGTGACCCTATCACCAATTACAGGAAGTATCTCCTGATTTAGAAGAGACCAACGATGATAAACTTATTCCCCTTGTCATAACAGGTTATGAAGCATGTGTGACTTAACTCTGGTCAATAAAATATGAAGAGAAAAGCATGCCAGTAGGCTTGTGCAAAAGATTTCCTTTGATTTTGCAAGAAAAAAAAAAAAACACCTAAAAAACAAAAGGCAAAGAGGGAGATACATAGAAAGAAAATGTTCCACTCCTTCCTCTGGCCTATGCACTTCTAGATATGATCTTCCTGCCAGCCTTAGGATGTATCCAACACATATAGGATACAGAGCCAAGAAGAGGAGGCAAAGCAGAGTTCTAAAGTACTAGCTTGGGGCCACCCACATTACTCCCATACTTCAATGTTTCATTTCAATTATCTACTGCATTTCAGCCACTGTAATGTGGTTGACACAGAGATAAACATCATACCTCATAAACCTCTCCTTTCCCAACCTGAACTTCCTGCTCCTTCAGCCAAAAGTTCTCCTTTCCATTTGGGCTGAGCTAGGAAAGACAGGAGAGGAGGGTCACTATTACAAGTTGTTAGACCAGCATGCTTTGCACCAAGCTCAAGTTCTTCTGGTACATATGGGGTGTCATATTTCCTCTTCCAAAGAACAACCTCTACCAACTCAACCCAGCTGTCCCTACTCAGGTTGAGGAGATGTTAGAATTATAAGAAGGCTCCTCCTCAATCCTGATGCTATATAAAAGCTGAAAAGTAGCATATGAAATCAGATCAGGGACCATATTGGAAAATATATGATAACAATAGACTAGATAATCAAACAATTCACTCTAAGGAATGAACCTCTCGTAGGTTCAGGAATACCAGAATCCTTTTTGGTTTTTTTAAAAGGATGCTATAATATTAAATAAAACTCTAAGAGGCAGTGTAAACTAGGAAAGATGGTATTTTATAAGCAGACATCCTCTTCAACATATTAACCAACAGTTCTTAAGTTAGCTTAAAAAGGAAATTGTTTTTGTAAAAAAAAACTATGAACCCTAAATATTTTATTGCAACTAAAACACAAAATTGTGCATTCATTAGACAATTTTATAATACAGGGCCAAGGCATTTTCTTCAAGTAAGAGTCTATTGATGGAATGATCTATTAGGTTATTAAGTATGAACTGTCCAATTTCCTTAGGTACTAAGTTTGACAGCTGATATCTCTGCACAATTTACTTAGACACTTCTTTTTTTATTTTTATTGTGAAGGTACATCCTCATTCTTTCAAATACACATTTCAGCTTGTGATTATCTTTCACATTTTTTAGAGCAATTTTTGTGAAGCCATGGGTAAGTCAAAACTTTGTGTTATTTTCAAATATGGTCATGGAACCAATGCAACACAAACAGCTTGAAATATCAACATGTTTGGGAGGGATGTGGCTAATGAATGCACAGCACATCCATGGTTTGAGAGGTTCTGTTCTGGTGATTTTAATTTTGAAAATGAGCCACGTGGGCAACCTAAGACCAAAGTGGATCATGATGAGCTTAAAGCTGTAGTGGAAGCGAATCCATCTCAACCTCTGGGTGAATTAGTAGCAAAGTCTGATGTTACTATTCCAACAATATTGGACCATTTGAAACAAATCAGCAAAATAAAGAAGCTGAGTACATAGGTACTGCATGAATTAAACAAGCATTAGAGGAGAAATCATCTCTAAGCTCACTTTTCTTTGGTGTCATAACATAAAGGCAAACCATTTCTACACCATATTGTGACATATGATGAAAAATGGATTCTTTTTGACAATTGTAAGCATTCAGCACAATGGTTGTATAAAGATGAAGTGCTGAAATACAGCTCAAAACCGAATATTTATGAAACAAAAAGCTAACAGTGTCTGTTTGGTGGTCCTGCATTGGTATTATGCACCACAGCTTCATGAAATCTGGTCAATTACAGCAGATGTCTACTGCAACCAAATAGACAAAATGAGGTTGGTTGTGATTAAGCAGTTGACATTGGTCAACAGAAACAGGCCAATCCTCTTGAAAGACAACACTCAACCACGTGTCACACAAAAACACTGCTCAAACTATAACGGCTGGACTTGGGAACTCTTTAGCATCCACCATATTCACTAGACCGTGCACCAACTGACTACCACTTCTTCCAGGCTATGGACCAAGAAAAAATATTCAATTCTCAACAAGCTGTGGAAAACACCTTCTGTGATTTCATGGCCACTCACTCTCCTAGCTTCTTCGCTGCTGGCATAAGCAAGCTACCATTAAGATGGCAAAACTGTGTCGAAAGTTTAGGTGCATACTTTGATTAATTGTACTGCTTCTTTTTTGAGATATAATAAACTACACTTTTGATTCAAAATTGGACATTTCACATTTAATGACCTAATATTTTATTTTTCTTGCAAATACCACACCCATTGTACATCACCTGTGATTTCCAGTTTCTGTTTGTTAAATATGGAAAGACATTTTACAAACACTGGAAAAGCAATTTTACTGCAGAATCTTTCTATATTATTAGAGTTTTTTTTCCTAATCATTTCAAATTATTTCACCCTCACCTATTTCAACTGTAATTGATTTTGGCTACTGACCTATTTTCAAAGCAGCCAACTGGTTCTCATACAAACACTTTTTTGCCTTCAGACTTCACTGAATAATGTTTCATTAAACTATGTAATTACAGTATCAAGTGCAACTGCCCTTAACAGTTTGTTAAATACAAACAACTCTTAGTAAGTCTATAATAACTGGTGAAATAAAAAGTTCAAGAGTAAACTAGAGAGTAGTCTACTGCCACTCAATTTAGCAAGGCCATCAGTCAGTAAATTCTACAGAGAGAGTGAAGACCATCATTTATTCTCATGAGTGGGTTAAGGAGAGGTCAGTTAGGAGAGATTCTCCTGTAAAAGGGTGTTCTCAAGTGTCTTTGCTTATCCCCCCACCAATCAACCCCCCAACAATTCATATATATAAGCAACTTCCGAAATAAAGAAGATCCACACAGTATCTACTATGTGCTAGGCAATCACACAGTGCTTGCTGCTTTATATAAATTTTCTCAATTTTGATGAGAAACATAACGGCAGAGTAACTCCCTTCTTTTTCTTTTCTTTTTTTTCTTCTGAATGCAGTTATCAGTTAAAGAAAGCAGTTCCCAGTAACATAAAGTCATCTAACCAAATGAAACAAACTTGAGTACCTGACATTACTACACTAAAGGAAAAAAAGCATTAAATATTTGTGTTTAAGAAAAAGAATATCATGAGATTTTACCTAATTCTATTGAAAGCTATGAAAAATGTGGACATGATTTAGCCATAAACTTTCATTAAATTAAATATACTATGTAATATACATTAGAAAAGAAAATGATCCTAAAAGTATGTCTTACTTCCCAAATACATAAACATTTCAAGTTCATTATTAAGAATTCTTTCTTACAACTAAGAAGTAGGTGGGAAGTGGCGAGAGAAACATAACCAATCATATATAACTATGATCTAAGGACAAATCAGTATGCACTTTCCTTAGGTTCCATAATAGAAGGGAACCCCACATATTTAGTTTCTAAATCTCAGCTTTGAGAAGGGAACTACAAAAAACATGTCTAACAGCAAACTCCACTGTCTCTAAAAGTTATCTATCCCCACATGTGTATCTCTCATTCTAATTTTTCTGAGTACTTCAGAAGTCACTTCACATTAATGGATAATATACACTTGACTTCTACACATTAAGATCCAAGTATGATCCTGCAGATCAGTACAAGGTGTTGTGCTGAGTTAAGTTACTGTATGTTTGCACATACAGAATCCCTACATTAGAGAAAGACAGATACCTCAAAACTGCCACTTCCAAAGAAATACATTTTGAAGAACCAACACTCAGACACATACTAATATCAATTAATCCCACTAAATGCTAACTGCTTGAAAAAGACAAAATGAAGAATGGAAACAGATCATCGGTGGTGTAAGACTCTGAAATCAAAAAATCTGATTCAAATATGCATTCTGCTATTTCCCAACATTTATCTTTCACAGGTTACTGCTTCCTGGTCTCAAAAAGGAGAGTACACCATCTCATAGAGTAGTCTTATCAGTATCATTTATGGTCTCCATACAAAGTAGGCACTTAGTAATTATAATAGATATTGTTGTTATAGGGAGATTCAAGGGACACAAATTTACTTACAATGTAAGTCCTTTTTCAATGCTAAGATGGAAATAATTAGTTTTAAAAAAAACACAACCTCAATCTTTCCTGTAACATGATTCTACATGCATTTAAAACTGGTGTTGTGAGGGTGATATTTTTCTAAGTACTCCAGATAATGATTCAGTTGAGGTTAGATTATTTTAGGGTCATCTAATATTTTAGGGTCATCACTGAAAACTTCACACATATTTATCTGGAACTGTGGAGTTTCACATTTATCATTCCCACTGTTATAGTCAGTTCTCTACATGTACAATTTTACATTTCACTTTTCCATAGTTTGCTATGGAAACTATGGAAATACCTATTAATAGTAATATGAACTATCCAATGACCTATATTTTATTTTGTTATTTAATATTTCAGCATTCCCTCTATTTAATGTGATAAACATTCTTTTGGGAAGCCTTTAAAACTGACAACCACTTATCCCATTCTGAAAAAATCTAAC